GAGAGAGCAGTCACTATTGTTCCTCTGTTTCTCTATTTGTGGAAAACGGCTCTGTTTAGGTGATATCTTGATCCTACAGGTCTGGGTGCGGCTTGTGAAACTGATCTCAGCTTTCCACAAAAATCTGTAATTTTTCTGATTTCCTCATTACTTCATTACACACTGCCTGTCTGACCCAACTTTTGCTCCCCTGTCAGCTATTTTCCTCTGCTCTTTTTAAAACACAGATGGAATGAGCTAACTGCTTTTTTTCCTGCCGCTCTGTTTGAAGTGTGACAACCAGCCTCGCCACAAGGCAAGGCATGGTTGGGAGGGGCAATGTTTGCATACTGATGAATGTACAGCTCGTACTGATGCATCCACTTGACAAGGATTAAGCTTACAAACTGGGAGCTAAATTACCCTTTTCTCCCCTCTTAAACTCAACAGTTTGATTTTGGTGAACAATTTCTTTTTGTTTTTGTCCATGTGTTGCAAACGGTGGCAACAAGTAAACACAGAGGAAATAGCAATAACCAAACAAATGGTTTCCTTCTGCGATGGTCCCAAGTCCTCAGCTTGTACCACACAAACGGGAGCTGTTTGTTCTGCTGTGTTTACACAGTGGAAACTCAGAGCTTTAACCTGGATGATTTTTGAACACTAACAGCACTGGATACAGCTGGGCTGTTTGCTGCTGCTACCTGGGAAAAGCTCTGTACAGGAAAAGATGCCATCTGCAGCACCTGTTGGGATTGTAGGCAGCCAATTTTACACCTCAAACAACAAATAATTGTTTGGTAGGTGTATGTTTGCCTAATTCTTATAGGGCATTAAAATAGTATCCAACAAACTTTAGGTTTTAATAAAGGGCGAGCTCAAATCTTTCGAAGTGTGGTTCTGTGCCAAGTTTATAAAAACTCTTACAGATTATAGAAAGCTCCTTCTATAGGTTGCAACCTCAGTTTGGAAGAGTTGTTTTTTTTTTCTGACCAAAATGATGATCTATCATCTATTTGACATTACTCAATTATTCTGTTAAGAAAAAAATAAAATGATTGTCCTGCTGGAAGTGCTACAGCTAGCTGCTGCTGCCTCTTTTTAAAAATTCAAATTGCGGAATTCTTTGTAAATAACAAAATACTGCAACATGGATGGCACTGATAAGCTGTTAGAATGTTAATCTGCTCCGATTTAAAAGATTTTTTTATTTCCATCCTTGGGCCATTCAAAGCACTATCTAGAACAGGTAAGATAAGAATTGTTCCCAACTTCTTGACAGAAACCTGCTTCACAACATCTATGCTATTCTTTTAAATTTTATTTTAAAAATTGGCTATTTATATTTTAAAACAAGAGTTAGGTTAGCTTAATAATATTTTTTTCTTTTGTAGTTCTTTTGCTTCCAGCAACAAAATGATTCTTCATATATACTGCGGGTAAAATGAGTGTTGAACACGTCACCATTTTTCTCAGTAAATATATTACTAGAGGTGCTAATG